ATTGTCGCCAAGACCAAAATGACCCGTTTACTGCTGCATATCATTCGCCAAATCCATACATGGATTATTTTAACCAAAAAACGTCTATGCAAAGAATCTCTAATTCTTTTGTCTATGTAAAGAAAAATTTTCCATACAAGTAAACGCCGCTAGAATGCGGAGGGAAAATTTGCCAAGGATTTGGCGACGGAACCTGGCGGCCATATTTCCCTCTCTCATGTGTACCGGAAATTGAGAAACGTGTTTAAGAAGAACGTTCTTTGACAAAAGAAAGCTACGAAAATCCGTTTTTAAATTATTGCGAAAAATCCAAGAATAAACGTTTCATCATAGGACATTTCTTCTTGGATTTTTCGCAATATTTTAAAAACGGATTTTCGTAGTTTCCCCCCCTCCTGAAAATTGACTAACCTGAATTAATTTACTTTTTTGTACTACGCAAAAAATTATTCTTGTGCCGGGCGCTACAATATAGCAAGTGGTAAAGGTCTCGCTCCGCATCTGCGAGTGCAATCCAGAGCTGTAACTCGAGAAATAAACAATCTCGTTGTAGGCGACGTGTGCGAATGTTATTTTCATTTTGCGATAAATGCTTATCGACGTGGTGTTCACGTCGCTCGCAGTTGAGACAAAAAACATCTCGACACAACGTCTTTTTTTAGCGCAAGTGGTTAAAGAAATTTAAGGATATTCATTTAATGAACTCTTGATAACGTGACCTCGAACCACACACCGGTTTTTTTCCAGCTTTGGCGGCAAGATATATCACGCATGCACAGCTGTTTCCCCTCTATGATGGAACGGAGCCACGTCTGTTTGCGAGAGGTTTTTCCTTCTTTACAATACATATTCTTTGATTCTAACCTCCATGGTACCGTATACTAGATTAAAACCCATTTTGTTTATACGAGAACAGGTACTTTCTTCAGTTCATGCACTGCACATCGATTCTCAAGAATACTGGAACCAAAAGTGCGGGAAACTTGCTTTGCCTTTCTAAAAGGCAATCAAATTGGAGCTGTGAAAATTGCCTCTATGCCAGCACACTACGTGATAGCAATTCGCCAAAAAAAGTTATCTCTTCCGACCGTCTGCGCAAAAATCGCTTTTTTTGGCGGATCATTGTATGAACTTCCCTGACTTTTCCAGACTTGACAAAAATACTTAAATTCCCTGACTTTTCCCTGAATTTTTTGGTCAATTTTCGAATTCCCTGACTTTTCCCGGTTCTCCAGGTAGCGTGGCAACCCTGCTAATACTGCCATTCATTTCTTTAACAACATTATAAGATGCTGAGAAGGTGGGATCCTTAGATTTATCTTTCCCAAGGTAAACTTCCATATCGTAGGTGTACCCTTCCTTATTAGCAATCTTGTATAATTTTATACCCCACTGCTTGCGTTTTTTTGGGGATATACTATCTAAATATTACTCGCCCTTTAAATTTGACAATAATTTCGTCTATCGCGAGCTCTTCTGCAGGGATGTAAACCTGCTTATAAGCTGTTTTTAAATGATCAAAAACTTTTCGAATTTTCCACAGTCTGTCATAATTCATAATTTTATTGGGTTTTTCTTTATCGGTTTTTTTCAAAATGCAAAAATTTTAAAATCATTAAAAATCTGTCTCTTGACATTACCTTACGAAAAATTGGTGTGTCAATTAAATCATCCGTGGACCAATAATCTCAAATGCTGTCCTTCTCAACATGTCCCATGAGTAAGACTAATCCAAAAAATTTCTGAAGCTCATCAGATGTAATTGGTGTCCAGTCGGATTCATGCTTTCTTTTTCCGTTTATATCTGGCCGCAACAATTTGAGAAGCATATCGATTAGTTTCTAATGGGAACATTTTTTAAACACTTCATCTGAAAAGTATAACTTAAAAAATCAACAGCAAGATGAATTTCCAAAAATTCAGTTTTTATGCCAGGTTTACAGTAAAGGTCAATGTGTTAGCTTTGTCATGCTCACTTGGCTGTCTCCATTCAAATAAATTATCGGCATTGCTTTGAATTATTGGCAACTTTATCTTCAAAAGATTGATTAAAACATATTTCTTCTGTATCTGAACAGCCGAATCTGTATCCACAAAAGTTTCCTCTTCTAAATCTCTTAGCAACTTATTAATTTTGTCCTGACTGAGACCTTTGAAACGAGGTGCCATTATAAGAAGTGAATAAGAGCGCAAGTTACACAGAAATCACGAGAAAAAGCTCTAATGATTGAAAGAGAGATAGCATCTTTTCTATTCTCAAGCACATTGGCACAAGACGAAACCTACAGTCTTCGCCAAAACCTAGCCAAAGACATAAGAAGTGGGAAACATTACATAGCCAGAGGCTGCTCTGAAGAGAAAACTAGACCACCCAGAGAATCTAAAGATAGGAAATTACTCTAAAGGGGGAACGTAAAGCTTGGTACAGCAGTTGTACCATAGCCGGCTTAAGAGCAAGTAAATTTTGCGGGACTACAGTTGTACTGCTGGCTTAAGAAAGTTAAACTGATTTTGTTTTATATGAGAATCGGAAGGCATTTCCTTTAGTTCAACATACACTGCACATAAGCATGCGAGCCTCTCGATTCTTGAGGTTACTGGAACCTCGCTTTGCCTTTCTAAAAGACAATCAGATAGGAACTGCAAAAATTGGCTTTAGGCCAGCTGCTTGAATGACACTTACACAAAACAATTCGCAAGAAAGTGATTGCTTCTAACGTTGCCGCAAAACTCGCTTTTTGGAGGATCGACGTATGAAATTTCCCAACTTTTCCAGATTTTGACTAAAATATTTAAATTCCCTGAATTTTTATGTCAATTTTTAAATTTCCTGATGTTTCCCAGTTTTCCCAGTAGCATATCAACCCTGCAAATTCCATCTACATGAGGTTAAGTGAAAATACACAATATATTCACGTGCTGAGAAACTGGAAAGAAAGAAAACCACCTGAACATCCTTCCTGAGTACTGTACTATGAAGCCAATAATCAGAAAATGTAAATGAGTGGAAAGCTGGAATGGATAAGCGACTGAATCTTGATACGATAATGAGATGATCCTAAAGGTTGTTGTATGCTGGAAAAAAATTAATATTCTAAAAACATTTCCTCAAACACAGGGTAAACCTTTATAAATTTCAAACTATATAAATGTGAAAATTTAGGCTTCGAAAAATAAAAATGACAAACTCACACAAAAACTAAATTAAGACCAGAAAAAGGGGGATAACAATAAGCACCAAACAGCACATTAAAAAAAAAAAAAAAAAAAAAAAAAAAAAAAAAAAAAAAAAAACTGAATTCTCCTTTAGTTTATTTTGTGGAAATACAACTCTACAAAACACACATATATAAACATCATACATAAATTCCTCCAATTTTACAGCCTTATAACTTTACTCTGCTTAAGAAAAACTGTACTAATTAAATTTAACTTTTCTCTTTTATTATTATTATCATTGTATTTTGAGAAAATTTTTGACAGAGTCAGATTATTAATATTTCTGTGAATATTTTATAATTTCATGGACTTTCATTTTTCCTCTTCTAAGAAAAATATTACAAATCAGACTTTTTATTTTGCATGTATGTATGTATATATGTATGTATGCATGCAGCCTTCACTACTTCAGAAAAACACTATATTCTACTTTTGATTGATTATTCCACTGGCAAATTACTATGAAATGTCTGAAAAATTCAAACCTTTCTGCATCTTAAAAAGTAACACACTGAGATTTTGCTAATACAATTAAAAAAATTTATACAAAATATATTAGTTATAAATTTTTCAATTTTCTACTCAACCCAGCTCTCCTCCTTTATCAGATCCACAAAATAATTATTGGTTTGTTTTGTCCATTGTAAACGAAATTTTGTCAATGACAACATATTTAAAAAACAAATATGGTTCTTAACTATTTAAAAACAGGATTTCCACACATGCCGATCATTCCTCCCCTCAAAAAATCCATACTTATTTCATCTCAGCAAGTTAACTGAGTTAAAATAATCGGTCAAATAACAATGATTGGAGCAGAAAATAACAACTATCGTTTAACGTTCGTCCACTTCTCAGTTGCTTCCTAATCTCTGTTGTTCTCTCTCTGCAATCCACAATGGATAATGCTGTATAATGGTCTTACCTCTAATCTAATAAATGCTCTAATATGCTCATTCTCTAATCACAAAATCTTTCTCCAGCATTTCATGTCAAGACTATCCCGGATAATCCTATTTTACAGCATTTGAGGAGAAAAACTTCAAACACCATATCTCATTTGCATTTTTTTAGTTATTTCCATTCTTTACCAGTTACTCAGCAGTTTCTGTCTCGTTACCTTATTAGATGATTTCCATCTTCAAACAGCTGATTATGCCTTGCATTTGAAGAAAGCATCCTAACACTTACTTACACATCGAACTCTCTCCCAAAAATATTTAATTTAAATGCTTGAACATTTCCAATATCTGACTAATTTCTTCAATAAATGAATTTTCCTAATGGACAGGTATTTGGTCATCTCTATCCACATTAACCAAATATTGCAACTGGTTGGTATTTCATCCAGCATATATTAATTTTTGCACCAATACAATAACAAATTCCTTCACACTTCATTCATGCTTTTGACCTTACCACATACCTCAGCACTGCAATATAACAAATAGACAAATTTTATAACCATAAATATCATAAATGTCAATGAGCTTTTTAATGATTTTACCTTAATTTGAAACAGTTCTTGAAAATTTGATCCTGACAAATACCTGCTTACATTAATCACTCATTTTAATAATTAGTAGAAAGCAGATACATGTAAAATGTGCACTAATCACAAAAATGCCTGCAGAATTTTCGCAAAGAAGATTATCATGTTACTTAATATTTACTGAATAAAATTTAATGATGAATTAAAAGTCAATAATGCAAGTGAAAAATAACAGCGACATGCTTATATATTCAGTAATTAAAATATATAATTCAGTGTTAGACTATACCTAAATCATCACAGACTCCTGTTACAATTCCATATATTTCAAATCCAGAAAGTGATAAATAATGAGTTTGACCACTGGCATTCTTTCCAGTTTGCTGGAGTCTAACATGTCGCCAGCCTTGCTGTTCTTCAGCAGGAGGATCTAATGGCCAAGAAGCTGTTGAGCCAGGTTCATTCAAAGCACAATCATCCACATGAGTGAACAAAGTCAACCAGTTTGAACCATCCTTAGAGACTTGAAACAACCAATTACGTAAGGCAGATCTAAAGGAAAGATTTTGATTTTCATGAAAATTCTATATATACAAAATGATGTATACTTGTTTCACTGCAGCTCCAGCTTTTAATTACAGTCTTTTTTAAATTAATAAATGCATTTTTAAAGCAATTTAATATTAATTACCTTCTTAACGACATTTAAAAAAATTTTTATTTCTTTAAATGTTTCAATTTAAATATATATTAAATTTTTTAATTAACAAATTTTTAAAAATTGTTGACAGAAAATGATAAACTATTCAAATCTAAAAAAAAAGTTTTTTTTACTTTTGTATCACATTAACATACATGTAATATCAAGCAAATTTCTAAAGGCTTTTCACATTTCGCTGTATTCCAAGAACTCTTTTAAAAAATTAAACTGCTATGTCTTTTAAAACATGATAATTCTTTTTAAAATCAGCCCATGGTTTAAGAAATTAATGTATATTAGGTCACATGCAAAAAATATGATCAAAATATAAACGTGTTAACAAGAATGTAAACAAAACAGTAATACCAGCTATATTTACCAAAGAGAATCGAGGCACTGGTTTAAAATTAAAAAATAAGGTTAACACTTTCAGTTAACAGGGTGCCAAATGGCAAATGAGCTCCAAAGTGCTGAATGTTAGAGCCCATTTTGTAATGGAACCAGAAAAACTATGGAATTTTTTATGTATACAGTGCTAGGTTGTACATACCAAAGTTGTACAATTTTGACTTTTTTTTTCCCCCTGTTAAAAGAGCCCACAAAAATTTTGCATTGCACGCAATAAAAATTATATAGAACATAAGGTATCTATATTACTGTTATTATATGTTATTTTTCTTTCCTTGCATGAAACCTTTAGTTTTGAAGCTTAAAGGTTATGCTTAAGGGAGAAAAGCACTTACATGCTGCATAAGGGTTGTCACCATCTAGTTAGATTTTTGCACCATTTATATTTCCTGCTAAGTGGCACCCCATTAAAAGAAAAGTACCAAAATAAATAATTTTTGCCAGTATACTAATTGCAAATTCTGTTGTGGCAAAATTTAATTTCAGATTAAAAAAATAGATATGTTTTTTATTTCAAATTTCTGTTTTTACAGGCAAAACTTTCAAGGTAGGTGATACATTATTTTGAAGCTTGGGGAATCAACAAAATAGTGCTACACTTCCAAATGTCACTATATTTTTAGCTGCCTGTACTCTATAAGTTATTATAATCATTATCAATGATTTTGAATTTTTGGAAGCAATAATCACCCACATTCTTTTTTTCAGGAAAACTTAATATTCTCAGCTGAAAGGGCCTTCAATAGCTAAAAAACGTTGTTATGTCAGAATAGAGAAACAATGTGCAATACGTAAGAGACAGTGAAATGCATTGGTTTAAAAAACTTTCGATCAATTTTTTAAATTCATTTAAATCATATTTGTTTGCATTCTTTCATTATTATTCATTTTTAATGCAATTCAAGAGACACAATAATCATTACAACACTTTTATAACAACAAATTATATTATATTTTAAAATTTAATAATAAGTTGATATAATGGTATTCTTACCTGCCATAACCCCTAGCATGCCTCAAAAAGTATAACGATTTGGTATTAGCCACAAACCAAGATCAATTGCAAACCATGCACGTCTTAAAAAGAAAAGAAAAGAAAAAAAAAAAAAAAAAAAGGGGGGTATATATGCATATATATATTTACTCACAAACAGCCTTTTAATCACATATTTACATAATTATCAACGTATAATAAAACTTTAACACTACATCTAATTATTGAATTTCCAAATTTCTGCTTATATATGAATATTCCCCTGTTCAATGATGCAATGAACACTTTTGAATATGTGCAGTAATTTAGGAAAACAGGAAACCAGGAATATAGTCTAGAAATATTGAAAATAGAACCATTTATCTTAGACATATACAGCTTAAAATTCTATTTTCACAACCATTTATCTTAGACATATAAAGCTTAAAATTCTATGTCCATATGTCCAATGCAGAATGACGTAATATCTGGACATACAGAAAAATTTTAAAGAACTTTTTCCCTCCTTACAAAATTTAGGAATGGGAACATAATATTGAACAAAAAGATGTGCCATAAATGAGATTTTTCTCCTGACTAATTCAGATTTCTGCTTGTCACTTTCTAACACAAACATAATCAGAAAAATAACAAATACAGTCAAAAGCCATTAATTTGGACACCCATAATCCGGACCTCACAGCTACAAACTTTCTGCGCATGCGTCACATAGACGACCTTTACGGCTGCACATATGCGTGTGCGTATAATGTATAATGGACGGTATAAGCTAAAATTATCTAATTATCTATTTCAGTTAATGTTGCAGATTGTGTTGTTCCTTAATCTTCGAATTGGATCTGGCTTATTATTTTTTGCAGACTGTTACAGCAATTTTATAAAAGTAAGCTTGAACTTTTGATTATGTCAAACAGAATTTCCGATATATATTTACTAATATGTAAAGGATCTACAAAGCGAAAGTATGTTTCGAAGTCCATTAAACAAAAAGTGGAATTACTGCAAAAAACTGGATAAAGGCATATCCTTTGTTTCTCTAACCATTCCGAAATCTGTTTATCAATTTCACGCTGCTCTGCAGCTAGGGGGGGGATGCCGCGGCGCGCAATGAATTGGAAGTTGATCTGTCAGTATTATTCTTATTTTCAGGGCAGATATTTTTATTTTATTTGGCTTATAATTCCTTACTAAATGTAGTATTTCATCTCGAAGTACTCCATCTTTGATATGATTTAAATCAAACTCCTTGTCGTTATAATACGCTTCCGATAGTGAAGAAAGTGACACAGTGGTTATTGAAAATGAAAAAATTTCGATTGACAAATTAGTCGTATTCTCAACACAACAATTATAGGACTTGAACAGCGAAACTTTGTAACTGAACAAGAAATTACGTCTGTTTATAGAATTAAAGAGAAAGTATCACATAAAATGAAGCAACTTAAACAACTTGCATTGAAAGAAATGTTTAATAAAGTAAACAAATAAATACTAAGCTTTTTTTTTTTTTTTTTTTTTTTTTTTTTTTTTGTGTAAATTTTGATACCCTTTAGATCGTAATTGTTCTTTATTTCATAAATTACGGTTTCATATTTTTAATTTTAGAATTTCTGCATGCCATCTTACGAGATTTAAACTGATGATCTATAATCCGGAAAAATCGATAATCCGGAGTCGCCGAAGTCCCGACGAGTCGGGATTAATGACTTTTGACTGTATATATTAAAATAAAATATAATAGCTACATTATCTTAAATGTGGCTAACAATCAATTTACACAGTGGCTAATAATAAATCGCTATTGCATTTTGTTTGGTAAACTAATATAGCTCATATTATAGTTTATAGGGAGATAATAAGCAATCAAGAGAAAAATAAATATGAATAACATAATAGTGTTGCTGTTTATAACTTATAATTTAAAATAATATAGCTTTATTCAGGGTTGCCACTCAAACAGGAGAATGAAATTCCCCGACTTTTCCAGGTGTGTTTCGAGAAAATTCCAGTCTATCCGCGTAATGTATGTTGGCTGTGCTAAGAGGAAAATTAATTATGGTATTACTTGTACTGTGTAGCAAATTCACTTAATTATTCGATAAATCCCAGAGGACATTTATTCTTAATTATTGTTGGTACACTTTGATAATTTTGTTTAATTTTTCCACTTAAGAAACTTAATAAAATTTAAGATATATACATTTGATAACAATTGTACGTTTTATTTAATTATTATTCATGATCATCACCAGTTCAACACGAGGCTAATAATCCGGTCCTTATAAATCACAACGCAATGGTAAATAGTTAGGTTAGATTTTTGGTAAATTTAATTTGTGTGAGGTGTCTTCTTAAAAGGCACCTTACCTTGAAAACACAAAATATAATTATAATAGGAATTGTTTTCTTCCACTGAAGATTGAAGATTAGAATCTGCCCAATCTGGATTAAAAAATAAGGCTTTTTTTGACAGACATTTTGCAGCTAAACGAAAGAAAAAAATCTATTTAATGATATTTTTTAATAAATTCAAGGTCATTTTATATTTATTTAGCAGCATACATAAGTAAAAAATATGTGCATTAAATTTCGTGATATTATGTCATCATACTGCTTAGAATTTAAGTTTCAGAATTATGCCAGAGAAAATTTGCCTGAAATTTGGAAATATTATTTACTAATAATTAATAAATTTAGAGGGAAGAAGCAAACATTAAATTATATTAAACATAAAAAATAAAGATAATTACTTAAAAATTGAATTAGAATAATCAACGATGTTTTAGCGAATATAGTTTATTATTACATGGTTAGCCTAGATGACCGATTACTATTTTTTTTTTTTACTGCAAAATGAAAAACAAGGTATTTATTAAAAATAAAAAAAAAAAAAAAAAGATTTTGCGGTTTAAAATCCTAGTATACGGTACGGCCTTCGCACGATTTTGAAAATTGTCGCCAAGAACAAAATGACCCGTTTACTGCTCATCATTATGTCGCCAAATCCCGCTGTACCATACATGGAGATTATTCTAACCAAAGAACGTCTATGTAAAGAAGAAAAGGTTCCATACATGTAAATGCTATTACGCCACTAGAAAGCGGAGGGAAAATTCGCCAAGGGATTTGGTGACGGAACCTGACGGCCAGAATTTCTTTCTCCGCGATGTGTACAGGAAATTGAGAAACATATGTTATGAAGAAACGTTCTTTGACAAAAAAGAAAACTACAAAAATTCGTTTTTAAATTATTGCGAAAAATCCAAGAAGAAACGTTTTATCAAAGAAGGTTTCTTCTTGAATTTTTCGCAATAATTTTAAAAACGCATTTTCGTAGTTTCCCCCCCTCAAAGTAACTAATCCATGAATTAATTTACTTGCATCAAAAATATTCTTTTTTTTCCTTCAAAGAAATTTTAAACAATATTCATTTTATGAACTCTTGATAACATGACCTTCAAACTTCGACACCGGTTTCAAGCTTTGGCGACAGATATATCGCGAATTCACAGCTGTTTCCCTCTATGATGGAACGGAGCCACGTCTGGTGCAGAGAGGTTTTCCTTCTTTACAATACATATTCTTTGATTCTAACCTCCATGGTATTGTACAATAAGATTAAACCCATTTTGTTTTATACGAGAATAGGTACTTTCTTTAGTTCATGCACTGCACATGCAATTCTCCCAATTCTCGAGGTTACTGGAAACCAAAAGTTGTGGGAAACTTGCTTTGCCTATCTAAAAGACAATCAAATTGGAGTTGCAAAAATTGGCTCTATGCCAGCTGCCCGAATGACACTCACGTGATACACAATTCGTCAAAAAACTTATTTCTTCCGACGTCGGAGCAAAACTCGCTTTTTTTGGCAGGGTTGTTGTATAAAATTCCCTGACGTTTCCAGATTTTGTCTAAAATACTTAAATTCCCTGACTTTTCCCTGAATTTTTTTGGTCAATTTTCGAATTCCCTGACTTTTACTGGCTTTCCCGGTTTTCCAGATAGCGTGGCAACCCTATTTATTGAGTAAACCTAAACTAGACTACATTAATATAACACCAAAATGTATTTAAAAATCTTAATTATAAAGCTTAAATGTATATTATAAGTAAATGTAATTTTAATGTATACTGTAAGTTTGCGTGAATTATACATCTGCAGAAATATTTGCTACTATTTTGAGAATGGCATCTTCTAAAGGTTTTTATTTAAATCATTATAACAATGAAATAATATGGATACTCTACAAATATTAAACACAAAGTTAAATGAACTAAGAAAGGCTAAATGATGTCAGACATATGCGTATAGCATCTAAAAACACATTAGCGCGCGGGTCCTTAACTCCTCCACACATGTACATAACCTTACAAAGTAATACAACTGGAAAGTAAAAACTGAAATAGTTTCATTTATAGCAATAATTTTTGTTAACAACTTTTATTTCCTCTAAAATATATTTAACACAAATAACAAATGAAAACTAGTATCTAAATTATAAATAAAGGGGGAAAATGAAGAAAGAATAAAAACATCCAACATATGAGAGGGATAGAAATAAAATCACTAGAAAAGCAAATATTTACTTGTCATCATTAGTGTGACAATTTAAAGCAGATGCTTCACGACTGAGAATATCTTCTAGTCTACCATAAGGAAGATTTCTGCCTTCAGATGCTGTAACCATTACTAGACCAACTTGTGCTGGATTGACCCATTCTGAAACAGTCCTAAAAGAATGTTGAATTATAAAATAAAATCTCTAATACATAATTTTTCGAATGACACTTTAACTAATCAACATATATATATTCTAACATAAATCACTGCAATCACAATTCATTTGCATCTGCAGGACAACAAAGCTAATAATCATAATTTCATCACATTCTAAAAATTAACCCTTTCAAGACAGGCATCGCATACATATGCATTCTTTACGAACAACTCTCTCAGCCGGGTGCCACACCCATGCGCCGTTTGAGAACTAACACAAGGGACAGGTGATGCATATAGACATTTTAAGATGAAACATGTCTCAGACTACTAGACTGTCTTTGAAACATTATTTTTTAACTGAATATAGTTTTAGGATACTGACCTTTAATTTGATCGCATTCTGTGTAATGTTGCTGACAGCTGATGTAGAGGAGGACAGAAAGCATAATACAAACAGACCGAGCTCAGCTCCTTTGCATTTCTAATATCCCTTCAAATACTTTTTTTTTTTTTTTTTTTTTTTTTCCCCTACTATGTAGGGTATTTTAGGGTTACGTGGAGTTCTATTACAAACTGTATTTTTTATCATTTATCTTTCGCATAATTTCCTTTTTATTTCAGAAAGCCTTGACTTGGTTTATTTTGGCAAGAAAGCATTATTTATCAGAGGGAGGACATACTCGCATGATAAATAAGCCAATTAGTGACATGGATGAGAGTGATGATTCCTTTTCTAGAGTTAGAGAGTGATATTTCTACTGATTCTCATATGGATATTTTATTAGAGACTGAGCTCACTCAGTGTCAACCATCTACTTCCCATGAAAGATTTTGTTCCTTCTTATATAAAGAGGCTTTCTTGTACTTTTTTTTTTATTAAACTTCATTATTGTATTCTGTCAATTAAAACCTTGGTATAATTCGCATAGTGCTCCCGAAAATGTATTTTTCAAAGCAAATAATTCATTTTATATATTTTCATGTAAAGGAAAGGAAAAGGATTATTAAATGCTAATTTCAACCTAATTGTAACGTATAGGATAGCTTAAGTAATTAATCTAAAATAGTACAACAAATTATGACATTAGGACTTAAAACTTTTTTTGTATAATTAATTAATTAAGTAATTAATATTAATATTAATTAGAAGTAATTAATATTAAGTTAGGCTTAGCGATGCAAAAACCCCTTCCTGTGGGATGATTCCTTTCAATTACCATCCATCCTGATGGAAAGTCGTAAACAAAGGTGCACCATCTCGAAAGAGTTAAACAATAAAAAACCAAAAGTTCCAACACTTCTACAAAATTCCAACTGGGTGATGATCTGATTCTTAACAAGTCATCCTTGAATTATCTTTTCATCATGGTTAACTTACAGAAAACACATTTAACAAAATTCTGATAACTATGGTTGTTGCTTTCAAAATATAAAAAATAATTATCACAGAGCTTTTCGTTAATCATTTACTCTTCTCAGACCTTCTTCGTGAAGAAACGTGAATCTTCCGTATCAATAACTAAGGAGAAAATGTTTGGCGTAGAAATGCAAGAATGCTATATTAAATGCATATCTACTTCTTTACACCTCAGTTTTAAAAACTCAACATTTTAATTGGAATCCTGCTGTCAAAATGAAGTGAATGTAAGAAGGTGATAATGTGCACAGTTATAATTAAAACTAGCCTTTTAAGGAAATTGCAGAATTACGGAAAGTTAAAGATTATCTAGTAGAGTATATTAAAAAAGAAATATTCGTGTTGAAAATTTATTTGATCACTTTTTTTTTTTTTTTTTGAAAAAAAATATACTTATCTAGAAATTGTAAGAAAAAAAATAGCTGCCAATATTCAAAAGATAAACAACTAAAATGCTGTAAAAAATAACAAGATTTGACAATACAGCACAATCTGGTGATTATTATTATTATTATTATTATTATTATTATTATTATTATTATTAGTTTAAAAAATTTGGTGACTAAAAATTTCCAGGTTTGAAAACCTGGAGTCAACAAGCTTACTGACTGAACAAAACATAAAATAATACAGGAAGAGTGAAAAATCCATACATACATGTTGTGGCTACTAATTACATTTAATCCTACTTTAATTCAGCTGAATGTCATTTTGAGCACAGTGGGCAAGCTAAATTTAAATTTATTAACACATTTCTTACATCTTGATAGAATATTATCACCACCTTCTTTAATCCCATAATACTTGGTTGAGGTTTTCTTCTCCCTCTTCTCTTTGATGAAACAACTGTGAATTCACTTTCAAATGTGTCATATCAGTTTAACATGCTCTTCAGTAAAATTTGTTAAAATTCAAATGTCTCCAGATATTTAATCTTCAGAGCTTGAAATAACATTCAGACCTTGTTGTGTGTATTTATATCAGCAAATAATGCTACAGCTCATATTAAAAATCTATTGAATAAGTAAGAATGTGATTTTTCACTTATAATAAAAGAGGAAGTTATTTGCTATCTGAAAAAAACAGAAGCATTTATATCCCCCCAAAAAAGATAGTTTACATTTAAGTGAATATACATATGGTAATATAATTAGTTTGGCTTATTTTAATTATGGCAAAGCACTCTAGAGCTATCTACCTAAGAGAAGGAATAAATTCATGGAGGATTTTTTAAGGGAAATTGGCTCGTATACATGTTACAAATGGGGAAAACCATGAAAATGCCCATGCAGCTAGCCCATTTGCCACAATTTGAACTCTGGAATGAACTACCTGTACTCAGCGACTTTAACTGCTCAGCCACTGGTGAAAGTAACATAAAAAAAGCATAAAGTATCTGATTACAATTAACTCAAAGAAGAGACTGCATGTTTTGCAAAGCAAATGTTGAAATTCCCTTGACCTAATGAGGTTATACAAAGAAATGAGTTCTTAATTTCTGTCAGGCATGATACAGAAATTTATTTAATGCATTTTATTTATTCAGAATGAAATTTTGCTCATAACACAATTTATAACAGAAATTAAATATAAAATTAACAAAGGCCTAAAATCATAAAATTAAAAATTTGGCAACTAAATAGGGATAATGAATCTGGGAGATTACAATAAAATAACAAATTAGTGTTTCAGTAATGTGACGACTTCATGGTTTAACAAGGCACCATTTAGCAAGACGAAACAAACATTTATTAAATATATGATTCAAAGCATAATATAATAGTGACTCACAGCAGTACGTCGCTCTTAGCGCATAGTACAATCTACTACCTTCCTCTTCCGAGGCTAACATGCAACTCTTAATAAATACATTAACCCTTCTCGGAGAAGAGCTACCTGCGCCAAGCACGCTCTGTTGATCGCCAAACAGTCACCATATATCACACCCCCGTCGTAAGATTGTTGTTGATATTATTTACAAATCAATCAGCAATCTGGAAACTAAAATCTAGCAACTGTTTGCGATCAACATGAAAAAGAAAAAAAACTACATATACTTTTATACATTCTATCCTAATTTTCAGATCTCAATCACTATAGACATTTGCAATATAATACCTACAATTGCACCTCAATTTACTACATAAACATATATAAACATAAATAACACATTTTTATATATAAACATAGATAACTCATTTTTAACTTCACTTGTTCCAAACCTTATTACTATTGTAGCAATTTATCAATTCTTAATTCAAAGAAACCAAGTTGATATTTTCTTTTATAAACATGTTAAAATATACCCTAGTATTATTCCAATAATGACAGTAAAATTATTAAGTTTCTTATATATATATAAAATTATATTCTTAACATTCTTTTTAATTAATGATGCTGCAGCATGATTTATGTCCTTGGGAGACAAATATCTAAATTTACCACTTACCTCGAATATTTGTTATCCAATAATTTCTCTATTTATTTCAAATTACATAAACATCTTATTTGCACAAAATTGTAAAATTATTATGAAAAGCAAAGAAAAACTATCTAATCATTAAGTATACAAAATGTTTGTGAAGATGAACAGTAAATTAATGTTCAAAGTTCACAGGTGGGAAGTCTGGATAATGCATCTGCGTTTGACAGTTTTTTTCCAGGGTAATGTTCTATTTTGAGATTATATTACTGCAAAGCTATGGCCTATTGTGAATCTGCAAAGCTATGCCCATTGTGATTCACAAGCTATGGCCCATTGTGAATCTGCAAAGCTATGGCCCATTGTGATTCACGATTTCTCCTGGACCAGTCCATCGTGCATAGAGTTTGTTATTTGAATCTGGTATGAGTAAATAAACTTGTTCTCAGATTTTGAAATTTTTTGGTATTGATTTCCGATTAAAGTACTCAGCATATTTTTGTTGTTTATCACTTGCAATTAAATTGGCTTGTTCGGCTGCTTGTTCTAACCTTATTTTTAAAAGCTGTAAGTAATCCACTGCCGATTCACTTAGATTAGATGGTATAGGTATTTATCCTGACCATGAAGACTTCAGTACTGCTAAAGGACCTCTTGGTTGTCTTCCATATATCAGCTGAAATGGTGAGACACCCGTGATGCAGTTTGTTACTTCTCTGTATGCAAAGAGCAGGTATGGGATGTGCTTATCCCAATTCGAAGGATCAGTCCTGATGACATGACGTAACATTTGCTTGAAGGACTTGTTCCATCTTTCTACTAATCCATTTGAAGCACTGTAAGCAGGTGTAGAGAACCTAGGGTGAGAAAACTAGTCTTTTCTGGAATTTTAGTTTTTAGTTAATTTTGAAACAAAGTTACTTCCGTTGTCACTAGCTATTGTATTAGAGATTCCTGCTCTCATGAAAATCTCCAAAAGCGCGTCGCAAGTGGCTTTTGCTGTCAAACTTCTCAGTGGAATGGCTTCTGGCCATCGGGAATGTTGATCTACCAGACATAACACATATTTATCTTTCCAGCAGAGGGAGGTTCAATAGGTCCAATAACGTCGATGTTAACTGTTTCGAAAGGTAATCCTGGCCTTCTGACCGTTGAGATGGGAATCTTGTCAG